CAGGGGTGAAAAAGGGGGTAAAGAGCCAGCTTCCCCAAATGCTAGCAGGCCCCTAGTTTTTTTGTTTACGGCGCACCCCCACCGCAGCCCGTTTTCTTATGGGGGCCTATGAGCGCTTCGCGCTAAATTTGACGGCGCTAGAATTTGGCGTAGATCTACGGTTTGGACACTCACCGACCAGCCGTAGATCTACGGGACGGACCCTGAAAGGGTTAAAAAAAAAAAACTTTTTTCATAAGAAAAAATCTTTTTTTTTTTTTTTTTGAAATTTGGCCGACCCTGAGAATGAGTCTCTGAGAGGACCTGTCGACCCTCAAAGGGTTAATTATTAAGAGTAATAATGAATTCAAATTTAAAATTTACAGAAAACCTACAAATAACTGTTCCTCTGTACACTATTATTCTTCACATCAGGATAGAGTTAAACTGTCTGTTTTCCCATCAATGTTTTTGAGAGCTTTGCATATTTGTAGTCCAGAGTTAATAGATGAAGAAATATCCAAAATTTATGAAACAGGTAATGATCTGAAATACCCAAGAAATGTTAATGATAAATCATTTAAAATTGCTAGAAATACTTTTTACAACCCAAAAAGCGACAACCAACCTTATTCAACTAAAAATATGTTGGTTCTCCCTTACCATGAAAACTTGGTTGATATGCCTTCTCTTCTTAAGACTTTTAATAATAAAGTTGTATTTAAAAATCTTGATACGGTATAGAAACTTTTGATAAAGAATTTCCCCCAAAATGCTGACGGATGTGTCTATAAGATTCCTTGTACAATTTGCGATAAAGTTTATAAGAACATAAGAACATAAGAAAGGAGGAACACTGCAGCAGGCCTGTTGGCCCATACTAGGCAGGTCCTTTACAATTCATTTCACTAACAAACATTTGACCTACCCAATTTTCAATGCTACCCAAGAAATAAGCTCTGATGTGCAAGTCCCACTCAAATCCAACCCATCCCACTCATGTATTTATCCAACCTAAATTTGAAACTACACAAAGTCCTAGCCTCAATAACCCAACTAGGTAGACTGTTCCACTCATCTACTACCCTATTTCCAAACCAATACTTACCTATGTCCTTTCTAAATCTAAACTTATCTAATTTAAATCCATTACTGCGGGTTCTCTCTTGGAGAGATATTCTCAAGACCTTGTTAATATCCCCTTTATTAATACCTATCTTCCACTTATACACTTCGATCAGGTCTCCCCTCATTCTTCGTCTAACAAGTGAATGTAACTTAAGAGTCTTTAATCTTTCTTCATAAGGAAGATTTCTAATGCTATGTATTAATTTAGTCATCCTACGCTGAATGTTTTCTAACGAATTTATGTCCATTCTGTAATATGGAGACCAGAATTGAACTGCATAATCTAGGTGAGGCCTTACTAATCTTCATAAGGAAGATTCTAATGCTATGTATTAATTTAGTCATCCTACGCTGAATGTTTTCTAACGAATTTAATGTCCATTCTGTAATATGGAGACCAGAATTGAACTGCATAATCTAGGTGAGGCCTTACTAATCTTCATAAGGAAGATTTCTAATACTATGTATTAATTTAGTCATCCTACGCTGAATGTTTTCTAACGAATTTATGTCCATTCTGTAATATGGAGACCAGAATTGAACTGCATAATCTAGGTGAGGCCTTACTAATGATTATTACAGTCAAACTGGTAAAAGTCTCGAACCTAGATTAAAACAACATAAATATAGCATTAGAACTGAACAAGATTCCAATGCTCTGTTTATTCATGTGAGAGATTTTAACCATCCAACTGATTTCCAAAAAGTTGAGAAAGTTGTAACAAGCAAGTCCATGGTTGACAGGAATATAATTGAATTTTGTTCCATAAAAAGCAGTTTTGAAAATAATATGAATATTTCCTTTGGTTTATATAAATTAATTTATAATTAATAAAATTTGGGAAGAATTTAATAATACATTGAACAAATAATAAATCTTAATTCTTGGGTAGAATGTTTTGTTAGTGGGATGTCGTGAGGACCTGTCTAGTTGGACCAGCGGACCTACTGCAGTGTTCCTTTTTTCTTATGAGTCAGGTATCGTCGTGCGTCAGGTGTTTCTTTGTTGTGGGATGTGACTGTGAAGTGTGGTCTCAACCCTTTATATGCCTTCCTTTGATGTATTACTTTCATAGTTCCTTGACAATATGAGTAGTCACGAAAGCGCTTGGAATTTCACCTCTATTTCACAGTGGTTGTTTTGCATATTATTATTATTCTTAAAAGCCTTCAAGAGGAAACTGGACAAGTATCTTTACCATGTGCCAGATCAACCAGGCTGTAATGGATATGTGGGGCAGCGAGCCTCGAGCAGCAACAGCCTGGTTGACCAGGCAAGCACTAAACGAACCTGGCCTATGGCCGGGCTCCAATAGTGAAACTCTCAAAACTCTTCAAAAGTATAATGGTCAGGTGTTGGCAAGAGATGTGGAATTAAAAAACAGAAAGAATCTAACACAAAATGGGAGTTGTCACAGTTGCTTTTTGCTGATGACACTGTGCTCTTGGGAGAGTCAGGAAAGTTGCAGAGGTTGGTGAACAAGTTTGGAAGAGAATGCAAAAGAAGGAAATTAACAGTGAACAAAGGAAAGTGCAAGGTGATGTGTATAACAAAAAAATTAGGTAATGAAAGACGATATCAGACTGGAGGGAGTATGGAGGAAGTGAATGTATTCAGATATTTGAGATTGGACTTGCCAGTAGAAAAGTTTATGAAAGACAAGGTGAATCAAAGAATTGATGAGGGGAAAAAAGTTGAGTGAACTACCGAGGAGTCTGTGGAGACAAAGAATGTTATCCATGGAAGCAAAGAGGGAAATATATGAGAGCATATTGGCACCAACATTTTTATATGGGTGGTGAATGTTGCCACAAGAAGAAGGCTGGAGGCAGTGGAGATGTCATGTCCAAGAGCAATGTGTGGCATGAACACAATGCAGAGTGTGTGTAGCTTGGAGATTAGGAAGAGGTGTGAGGTTTCTAAAAGTATTATCCAGAGGTCAAAGGAGGGGTTGTTGCAGTGGTTCAGTCATTTAGATAGGATGGTGAAAGACAATGACTTGGAGGGCATATATATCTATAGTGGAAGGAAGGCAGGATAGGAGTCATCCTAGGAAAGGTTTGAGGGATGGGATAAAGATTTTGTGTGTGAGGAGCTTGGACTTCCAGCATGTGTGCATGAGCATGTTAGTAGCGAGTGGAGAGGAATGGTTTATATGGCTTGATGTGCTGTTGGAGTGTGAGCAAAGTAACATCTATGAAAGGATTCAGGGAAACTGGTTAGCTGGACTCAAGTCCTGGATGCAGGAAGTACAGTGCCTGCACTCTGAAGGAGGAGTGTTGATATGTTGGTTTTGTAACTGTAGTGTAGGTGCACCTCTGGCATGACAGTGATGAAGTGAATGATGATGAAAGTGTTTCTTCCTTTTTGGGCCACCCTGCCTTGGTAGGAAACAGATGATGTGTTAATAAAAAACTATATGAACTCATAATTTAATTTACATAAGGCCTTTTCCTAAGTATTTACAACATATTTCATACAGACAAAAATTTCTTTTAATAAAGATCTCATTTACATTAGGATATTTTTCTGAAAAGACGTAATTTTTCTTTAGTGTGAATTTTCATGTGTCTTAATAAATTGGATTTGTGATTAAAGTTTTTTAAACACTCTGAACACTGATAAGGGTTTTCTCCTGTATGACTTCTTTTATGTGCAACCATATCAGATTTTCGAATAAAGTCTTTTAGACACTCCGAACATTTATATGGCTTCTCTCCTGTATGGATACGCATGTGCTTTACTAAATTAGACTTTGTTTGTACTTTAATTAGACACACCGAACACTGATGATACAGATGTTTTCCTGTATGAATTTTCATGTGTAATACTAACTCACTTTTCCGAGAAAATCTTTTCAAACATTCTGAACACTGATATGGTTTCTCACCAGTATGAATTCTCATATGTTCTACCAAATGAGATTTTCTTGAGAAATCTCTTAGACACTCTGAACAGTGATATGGTTTCTCTCCAGTGTGAATTCTCATATGCATATCTAAATGTGACTTCTGTGAAAAGTCTTTTGGACACTCTGAACAATGATATGGTTTCTCTCCTGTGTGAATCCTCATATGTTTTACCAAGTCAGCATTTTCTTTAAAGTTTTTTGGACACACTGTACATTGATATGCTCTTTCTCCTGAATGAATTTTCATATGCGATACTAAATAAGGCTTTTGTGAAAATGATTTTAAACACTCTGAACATGGATAGGGCTTCTCTCCAGTATGACTTCTCATGTGTGACACTAAATAACATTTTTGTGAAAATTCTTTGAAACACTTAGAGCAATGATAGGATTTTTTCCCAGCATGTTTTCTCATGTGTAATACTAAATTAGATTTTATTGGAAAACTTTCAAAACACTGTGAACACTGATATGCTTTCTCTCCCGAGGGACTTTTTTTAGCATTTGCAAGTTCATATTTTTTTTTACAGTCTCTTAGACTCACTGAGCATTGATGTGGGTTATCTTTAGAAAGTAACTTATTTTGTGCTGCTGGAGTATTTCGTCTTTTATGTATTTTAGACATACTGAAGAGTGACATAAATAACTTTAGGTAATGACCTCTCTTATTTCATCCTTGAAATTTTTTCAACTTTTTCTAATTATAAACTAAACTGATTTATCTTTTCTATCAACTAGAATGATTCTTCTGCTGTCACAAATGTTAATCTAGTTTGAAAATTTCTAACGGGTTTTATTTCCTGTTCAAACTGTTGCAAGTTACACTAAAAAATATTGATAAAAAACTTTAACTATTTATTTTTTCCTGTAAGGCCTCTTTAAAATGATACTTGATATAAGGGATAGTATTTTCTACATTGTTTACATTGCACTGAACAGTAACAAGTATTTTTTTTTTTTTGTATAACTCTCGATGAAAATAAATTCGTAACATTATGAGGCCACACATGAATGAATTATAATTTTTCTGCTAAATTTTATTACGTTCTAAAGGATGAAATATTAAAAAAAGTAATTTATGGTGTGATGTATTTTATACATATGCAAAATTAATACTGTTTAAACATTTATACCTATAAACATTGAATTATGCACACAGAAAGAATAAAAAAATGTGTACTGCAATAAGTGCATATTAATGTCATTTAATCAAAAAATTTAAATGAGCACAAAAATGTGAACTAGAGTTTAATAAGATGCTAGGTGCAGGATAATGAAAAATTCAGGAATATTTTATGATGAGAAAGTATGATTAGGTTCATGGATCATGTATCACATATACAATTATTTTTTAATTTCTACTTTTTCACAACAGATAAATAACTACACTTAGCATCAAAAGTTTATTAAGGTCACAATCCATTTAACTGGGAATTTTCAAAAAATAGTGATATAGTCTGACTTTGATAAGCATTAGTAGTACATAATCAGCCACTTCTAAATACTTCTAATAAATTATCCCATTCATTATTTATATAAATGTTATGTTTTGAAAAAGAATTAACTTCAGCACCTATGATGTTCATTATGCATGTTCAGGGATGTGATGAATACGTTCCTAATGCAATAGAAAAAACTGCTGTGAGAAACAACCAGAATTAGAGAATAAAGTTGTCTATAAGCTGTTAAAAATGAAGGTGTGTAGTTGTAGTAGTAGTAGTAGTAGTAGTAGTAGTCCAGCTGATGATGTGCAAATAGTGCATCAAACATGCACTATTTTCAGACACTATTTATGTTATAGTCAGTTCTGGTATTATATATACTGTACATAAGACGGCATTTCTGAGACTTACACAAGCTTTACGCTGCAGCAAATATAATTCTTCTCTTGTAAAGGTGAGCTGAAATAAGAAAGAACCACTGTAAAAGAAACTTTTGCTTTTAGTTCAAGATTTAGAAAAATATCAAGTGGAATACAGGAGAATCCTTTTTTTTATGATTGTTAGGTTCCCAACTCCCAGCGATAAGTGAAAATCATGAGTGGAAAAAAAGCATTTTTTCAATATCAAATGCATCTAAAGTGCCTATTGCTGCAAAAAATGTGATATCTAATAAGCATAGAGATCTCCAGTGAACACTAGAAAGGACTGCCCTTCTAGCATCCAGCCTGTTACTGGGTTTTTGTAACAAGTAGTCAGTATCCTGGTCCAATTATCCATTAGAATTCAGTAAGATTCAATAGTGCTTCAGGTTTACAACTGGTAGGCTACTAACTAAAGAAATTAAAATTTAATATGTTTATTAATAAAAAGGTTGTCTAGGCATTTATTATCAAAGTAAATTATAGTAATCAATATAATAAAAATAATCACCTCTCTTGTGTACAGTAGTATTGTGCTGAAGGCACATATCACATCTTTTTGGCTTTTAAGTACTGTCTGGTACATTGTTAGCAAATAATAACATAATACAAATATATACATGTAAGTTTGTGTGTGTGTAAGTGCTCAAGGTAGTTCGCTATGTTTCAAGACTCGACTAGACTTAACCAGTGACTGACTAAAAGTCCTCACATAAACTAACTTCTTGACCAACCTGGCAATCAGAACAGCTTGCTTGAACAATAAAATGACTGATAAGCCGAACAGCAATATAACAAGCAATAGCGACACAGAATCAGGAACAAGAAGATAATGTAATGACACTAAGTAGGGACCATCTGCAGATCCTCCACAAAAGTCACAAAACTCCCATACTACTGAATTTAAGTTCAGCATTAGAAAATCCCTGACTGTGACAATACACAGATACCAGTACAAATTAGGTCAGAAGCTACAGCTCAGGACCTGAGTGTCTCAGAGTGTCTAAGAGAGAGACAACCTCAGTACGTCAAAAATCACTAAGTCTAGACTATGTTCTGTGAACAGAGTTCCACAGAACCAACAACAAGAAAGAGACAGAGACAATCTTCCAACAAGGACCAGCAAGGGAGAGCTAGAGGCACGTCTTGCTAGAAGAACGTCCAACCGACAAGAGACTGAGCAGCCCAGGCAGACTACTCCCGGTGAGGTGTCATCACCCCCCCCTGATCACGCGACTCCGTGGACTGCTGCTGCCCAGCAACATAGAGAAGCCAGCAGCGTAACGAGCAACAAGGGATAATTACAGTAGTTAGACAATCAACACTCGAACTACGAGCACTGAATAATATACAGTGGAACGTCAAAAATCGAACATATCACATATCAAACTTTTCGAAAATAGGACCATTTTTTTGGACAAACTGTGTCCCTATTATCAAACGCTCCCCTATTTTGGGCCCCCGGGTAAGCCCTGTTTGCCCCCCCGCTCTGTCGAGCCCAGTGCAGGCGCCGAGCAGTTTATTTTGTTTATGCTACACTCTTTTTCACCTTTTTACGTTTAAATTTTCGTTGTGTTTAGGCTTGTGTGCTGTGAAAAAGCTCCCAGGGGCCCAAAGAAATTTGCTAGTGGTACCCCTGTGGAAAGAAATGAAAACATCATAGATGTGAAGAAGAAAAATAATCAGAAGTATGAGATGATGTGAGACTTGTTGAGCTTGCCGGTTAGGGGGAAAAAAGTCGACCATCGTTTTTTCCTGCAAAGAAAAAACAAATCAAGGAAGTATGTTGCGAAAGGTGTTTGTAAAGGGGTTACTCAGCCTGTAACAATTCTCAGTATTCAAAGGCGGCTCCTCCTCAAAAAAAAAAATTAAATTTATAGAAAAAGAACAAAAACTGACAAACATAAAACATTTTATTTTTTAAAAAAAATATAAATATAAAACATTTAAAATATGAAATTTTGACCTACATTAACCCTTTGATGTAAAACCCCCCATCCTGAGGTGTTCCTGTGTCGAAAAATTTTAAAAAAAAAAAAAATTTTTTTTTTTTTATGAAATATAGGAATCTTTTCCCGAGTAATGACCCAAAAAAAAAAAAACGAAATTTGATGAAAACTGAGGGAAATTATGTCTCCCGAAGTTACGACTTCCGCGATATTTAAAAATCGGCGTTTCCCATTTTGGCCCTATTTTGGCTTTCGTTGTTCCTCGACCAAACTCATGCTATTTCTTTGAACTCCATTTTCTCTATCTTGAGTACAAAAAAACCCCATTTCCGATTTAAACTACCCAATAATGTGGTCAAAATTTGCAATTTGGCCAATTTCATAAAAATTTTAAAAAAATGACAATTTCAAAATAAGGTCCGAATGAAAAAATGCAGACATTTCCCGGCCTAAAATAAAATTTTTTTCGTTCATCAGTCGTCTCCCCAAACCCCTCTGATATTGCCTTGCTTTCTATTTTTAATTTTTTTTCAAAAAAAAAAAGAAAATTACATTTCAGATACTGCAATACTGTAAATTGTATAAATCATGACCCATTCTGGCTGCATATTTGAATGGCTAGTTGGACATTTTTTGGGCAATGACATATTTGTTTATTTTTAACTTTGGGAAAAATCAAAAAATTTTCCCTTTTTTGAGCTCCCTTTTCCAGTTCTTTTTTTAATAAAAAAAATCAAATCACCGTATTTCTATAATATTTTTCCTTCTATAAATAGACCAAAAAAACAGAATACAACTTAAAACTATACGAAAAATAACCCCAAATCGGGATTTTAATTAAAAAAAACGGTCTTTTTTTTTTTTTTTCCCTTATTACTGGTGCTCCAGGATTTTTTTATATGGTTTCACATGACCACACGACCAATTCTCTCAAGAGGGCCCACCGCTTTCTCCCGCTTGATTTGAAGCGCTTTTAATTTATGAGTAATATACGTCAAACACGGTACCCCTTTAAGACGTAATAAGGGCCCCGACAGTCAAAAAGGGTTAAAAAAAAATGAAAAATGAAAAAAAAAAAATGATATCAAAATTTAAAGCTAATTATATTAAAAATTGGGGGTCTGGGTTGGGGACCCTGCGTGTTGTTGAAAATGTAGCCTTGCTGATGAGGGGGGGGGGGGGTCCAGGTGTTTGTGACAACCAACCGGCCGTTCTTTACAATTTGCCGTAAAATAATCTATCCGGGTGACAAAAAGCAGGTTCTTTACCGCTGAACTTCAACAAGTGCCCGGTAAGTAGATAAAACATGGGGCGTCTCAGGACGTTAGCCGTCTCCTTCAATTTACCATTTTTTGGAGGGGACCCCTTTTGTCATTTCCAAACTGGAAAGAGATACAGGTTACCCTTTCTTAAACCCCCAGGGTTTCGGGGCGTACTGTCGGTTCGACCCGGGGTTTTTGCGTCTAGAAACCCCAAAAATTTTTTAGCGCCCCCAAATCTAGTGGGAGAAAACTGGTAGGCCTTCATTGAAAAAAAGGGAAAAAGGGTCTAGTGGGGCATGTGCACAGTCTAAAAAAAATCCCGGCACAAGGCTAAAGAAAAAAAAAAACTTTGCCCTTTTTTTGGAAAAAAACAGCGACTTTGCACTGTATTTTCGTATGGTATTTATTGTTGTTATTTAGTTTTCTTGGTTTCTTTTTATAGAAGGGAAGACATATTACAAAAAATAATGATTTGATGGTTTACAATGAAAGATACCTTGAAATTGACCCCAAAGTAGCGAAATGTTTCGATTTTTTACTAATTTTTCAAAAGTAAACAAATCGTCCCAAAGGGGTCCAATACACTTAACTGGTGAGTTAATATTCTTTCCCCCAAGTGCGCCATAATATTTATCCATTTTTTTTTTTCCCTCAAGGAAGGTTCCTTGATGTTGTGAGGGGCTTTTGATTTGGGAATTGATCTGTGCTCCACTTCCCCCCCCGAATTACCCTGAATACCTTCCACCCCTCCCCCCAAGGCGCTGTATAACCTCCGGGTTAGCGCTCCCCCCTTGATTATTAATAATATACCATTTTTACATAATGCAGTAGTGCAAACAGTAAATTTTAAATATTTTTTTGTTGAGAATAAAAAACAAAGTGGAAAGCAAAAGAATAAGAGGGGCCTTGAGACATGACTAATGACCAGAGGAAATGTCATTTTAGTGCCAGGAATGTCTTTCTTGTTTATTCTGGACCCTATTCGGAAATTGGCATCTTTTGAAATTTTTTATGAAAAATTTGGGAAAATTTCTAAATTCTGACCACTGTACTGGATAGTTGAATTTCATAAATGGGTGGTTTCTTGCACTCATTTGATAGAAAAAAATGGAGTTCTAGCGAAATATTCATGTTTTTTGCCGACTAGTACAGTGGAATTGGCCGAAAATGGGGCTCAAAGTGGGCAAAATCGCCGATGCGTAAATATCCCCGAGACCGCTAACTTCGCGAGAGCATAATTCCGTAAGTTTTCCATCAAATTTCAAACTTTTGGTGTCCTTATGATCGGGAAAAGATTCTCTATCTTTTCATAAGAGAAAATTTTTTTTTTTTTTTTTAAATTTGGCCGACCCTGAGAACGAGTTTCGGAGAGGGCCTGTCGACCCTCAAAGGGTTAAGAAATCACTCTCCATGATAAGTACAATACCTAAAAGACGTGGTGATTATTAAGACATTTAACATAAAGCAAGACTGAAAGGACTAAGTTTATTATTGGTCAAAAGTGAAGCTTTCAACCAATAAGTCCACTAGAACATGAGCAGGCGTGTACTTACAGTAGTGCTGGGAGTTGAGAGTAGAGTGATTACTGTTTGGCCGGAGCCCCACACGTCACCTTTCGGGGGTGGAAAGAGGGAGGGGAAGGGATAGCGGGAGCTAGACTGACCCTACCTTAACAAGTAGCCGGCAAACAAACTATTGTTACTATATACTCCATCGTTACTCCTATCTATTGAACTTTTCCCGTACACTCCCCCATACCAAGACTTACAGTCAAGGAGTATAAGAAGAATAGGCGAGGAATAAGTTCTAACATGTGGAAGTCGCGTAAGACAACAAATCTTCTACTGACTGTCACTACTTAACCAGTCAGAGAAATAATTGGATGAATCATTGATATACACTATACTGAACTTAAAAGCTTGGAGAGCCAATGTCCACCTCAAGAGGCGACTGTTCGTTCCCTTAACCCTTTCAGGGTCCAAGGCCCAAATCTGGAGTCACGCACCAGTGTCCAAGAATTTTCAAAAAAAAAATTTATTTTTTCTTATGAAATCGTAGAGAATCTTTTTGTGAAGGTAATAAAACAAAAAGTACGAAATTTGGTGGAAAATTGACGAAATTATGCTCTCGCGAATTTTGACGTGTCAGCGATATTTACGAATCGGCGATTTTGCCGACTTTGACTCCCATTTTAGGCCAATTACATTATTCCAGTCAACCAAATTCTTAGCTATTTCACTAGTATTACTTCTATTCTATCGATTGAGCACAAGAAATCGCCAAGTCAACTGTTTCAAACTACAAAATAAAGTGATCGGAAATTGTTAATTTGGCCAATTTAACACAAAGTTCAAAATATTCCAATTTCAAAATAGGGTCCAGAATGAACAATGTAGCATTCTTGGCACTAAACTAACATTTCCTCTGTTCATTAGTTATGTTTTGAGGCTTTACAAATAAATTCCATTTTGATTTTTTATTCACATAATGAATTTTTATTCACACCAAAAAATAGAAGATTTACTGTTATGCAATACTGTAATAATTGTATAAATATCATCACCATATTTGTGAATGTATATTAGACCCACCAGCTGCGTGTATTAGACGTGTGAGGTCGTTTGTTTACTCTTGAATATCGGCAAAAATTTAACATTTCTGCTACTTTGAGCTCAGTTTCAAGCCATTTCCAGTGCTAAAACCAATCAAAATCATCTCTATTTCTGTAATATGTCTTCCATTCTATCAAATGAGACCAAGAAATCGCAAATACAACTATAAAAACATACGAAAAAAACACTGCAAAGTTGCTGTTTTAATCGAAAATCATGATTTCATTTTTTTTCTCTCATTATACACAGTGTGATGCAGGATCTGTTTTATGTGGTGCACACATACCACATAGATGTATTCTCTCATATCTAGGCCCAAATGTACCACTCACAGTTTATCGAGTGAGCTGAGCCATGGGTAGATCTACGTTTGGACCCCGAACAAA